AAACAAGATTCTAAGTTACCTGAGAAAGTAGCAAGAGTACTTTGGTTGAAGTTTCTTTTGAGATATCATGGAGGCTGCGTCTCTCGATTTGATAAAAAAAAAGCGACGTCGCAACTGAACAGTTAAATACACTCGGATAACTTATTTTTTGCAGCGTCTAAAATTTTGTGTGATGCATTTTTTTATGCATTGGAGAGGATTATATAGGGATTCTTGTGAAAGATTTTTAATCCTTCCACAAGGCATAATAAAGTGAATTTGAAAGAACAAAATCTGATTTGGGTTGAGATATTCACTATCCATTTTGAAGCCACACCAATGTGGAAGGATGAGCCAAAGAGTTAAGGAAAGAAGAATATCTTTATTGACTTGGATACCAAAGGAAAGTTAATATTCTTTTTGTTTGACTCAAAATTCTAATCAACCTTCTTGTTTTCCTGACACCTTGCAATGAAGATCACATTAAAAAAAATGTTACCACTCACTAGACCCATCTATTTGAAATCAATATAGAGGGGCCACGTGGTTGTCGAGCAAGATTGTTTAAAAAAAAATTGCGATCACTACAAACAAATCATTTGTAGTGGCCTAGTTAGAATACGACGACAAGAAACAAATACTCTTGAAGTCTCAACAATGCATTCATGAAGACTTCAACTCTAGTCGTCAAATTTGACATGCCTACACGTAGAGAAGTCTCAAAAAATGAAAATGCATTCATGAAGACTTCAACTCTCGTCGTCAAAATTCAGCAAGCCTATACGTCGAGAAGTCTCGAAAAATGAAAATGCATTCATGAAGACTTCAACTCTCGTCATCAAATTCGACAAGCCTACACGTAGAGAAGTCTCAAAAAAGGAAAACACATTCATGAACACTTCAACTCTCGTCGTCAAAATTCGGCAAGCATATACGTCGACAAGTCTCGAAAAAATGAAAACACATTCATGAGTACTTCAAATCATGTCGCCAAACTTTGACAAGCCTGCACATCGACAAGTCTCGAACTAAGGGTCATTTGTAGACACATAATTTTATTGGATTAAATTCATACGAAATTTGAATTAAATCCGTGCTTATTTGGTTCCAAGGTCCATTTCACCTTGAAGCCCAAAACTCATGCCACATGTCATAGTGACTAGGCATCCAAGACCAATAAGGTGGCGCCACGTGTCCAAATGAGGTGGTAGTCTCAATTAAGTGCCAGAACCAATCACAACATGCCAAGTGTCAAAATGACATCCTTTGGCCAATCATATGCAACCTTATCCACCCCTACAACTATAAATAGGGGATGGACATAACATTCTAGGGGGATCAATAAAACTCTTCAACAAGCATTCGGCAATTGGAGAAAGCTACAACATCAACTACAGAGCTCTTCGAAGGAGTGGTCAACGAAGTTCTTCTCGGAGATCGGCTTGAAACGACAAAGTACTTTTCGACGTTCCCGGAGATCAACAACTTCTCAAGGAGGTCTACATCATCCAACAATTCGAGAAGTACGCTACTGAGGTCCTCGAATCTTGGAGAGGCTTAGGAGAGAAGAATCAAGAGAACAACATAATTGTACTCACAACGATTCATCAATAAAAATTACATTTTTCTTTTATTTATTTTGCTTGCAGTCAATTTTCAGCGCTTATGGAAATTTGATGCGAACAATAATGTCTTGAAAAATGTAATAGGGAAATGACTCTAATTAATGATAAGGATAAATTAGGAACTAAGTGTAAAATTATCCATGAATTTCATAAAGTGAACAAGTATTGTTGAACATCTATTTTTAGTAAAGTATTGTTGGACGGAGGGAGTACTAATTACAACAGAAGTTAAGGTGTTCCTTTGATTCTCAATATTAGATTTTCAAGCTTAAATGTGAAATCATAAACCTATATATTGGAGTATAACTTTGTAAATAGTGTAGTTTAACTTCTACAAAATTACAAACTTCATTAAAGAAAAGGGTAAGTATGAAAAAAAATCAAATATTTCTTTTGAACTTTGAACAGTTCAACTGTTTTGAACAAAAAACTCTTGAAATTCAATTAATATGGAATGAAGGGATTAGTAAGTATTACTCCCTCCGTTTAAAAAAGAATGACCTCTTTCCTTTTTTGGTAATATTTTAATTTCAGTTTTCCACATGACATGTTTAAAGCCACAAGATTGAAGGGCAATTTAGTACATTTGACATAATTTTAATTTAGGTCCACAAGATTCAAAAGTGTTCTTTATTTTCTAAAACTCTGTGCCAAGTCAAACCAGGTCATTCTTTTTTAAACGGAGGGAGCCCTATCTAAGAAGAGGGAATAAGCACACAGTTGGCCATCAACATGTCAGCTTCAACTGTGTGCTTATCCTGCTACTTGGCTTATTGGTTTGAGCTTGACATATTATATACGGAAAATTGTCAAAATTACCCTCGAACTATTCAAAATAGCTCATATATATATTTTAATTATGTTTGAGATAAAAAAAAAATACCCTTGCCGTATATGTTTTGGACCACAAATACCCTTAAAACGTTATCTTTGCCGTTAGATCTAACATGACAGTCCTTCCAGGCAGTCCAACATGGTTAAAATATCTTCCTCTCAATAATGTTGTTCTTCCTTATTCATCCCTATCACAAAAAGAAAATCAAAAAATAATTATTTCATTGTTCTTGTTTGAGTTGTTGTTCGGACTTTGGAGCTCCAATTTCAAAGTGTGATGAAGTTTGGTTGAGGTTGTAATTGCGTGTTGAAGGATCAAGTTCATTGTTTTGGATTTTGGGTCATAGATTCACAAAATCGATTTTTAGAACTTCAAGCTTTTAAGAACTCTTTCATATACTTTTTTGGGATTTCAACTCAAATCTCAAAACTAAAAAATCAGTTGTTAAATGTCAATTTACAGCCTCCATTGCAATATCCAAACACTTTTTAGTAACATTCAATTAAATCTCTTCAAATTTTTGCACTTCAAAAATCCAACAAAGACTAGAAATTTCTTCACCAACAAGCTTTCAAATGAGTAGCTATTTTCGATTTTCAACACAATAAAAATGACTTCAAGATTTTTTCAACATCTTTCAACCTTTAGAATTAAATTTTTAGCCTCAGACTCAATGACATCAAAACCCAAACAATGAACTCAATCATTCAACACACAACTACTATCTCAAACGAACTTCAGCGCACTTCGAAATTGAAATTTCAAAGTCCGAACAATAACTCAAACAAGAACAATAAAAGAACTATTTTTGATATTATTTTAAAAAAAAATTGTGGTAGAGATGCACAAGGAAGTACAACATAATTGAGAGGAATGGATTTTTGCCATGGTGGACTGCCTAGGCGGACTGCCATGTTAGCACATGACAAAATAATGTTTTAAGGGTATTTGTGGTCCAAAACATAGACATCAAAGGTAGTTTTGATCCCAAACATAAATAAAGGGTATGTATGAGCTATTTCGAATAGTTCGAGGGTAATTTTGACCTTTTTCTGTATTATATATAGAGTCTGAGGTTCTTTTTTTTTGGTTAAATTTAGGTTAGAGGCCTTTTTATTTCCAAATAAAGCTGTACAGACTGGGCGACAAAAGTGACCAACAAAAACAACTTGAAACAAAACTAGTCCAGCCCACTAGTTCTAACATAAAGACCCTTCAGTAGGTTTCCTAATCCGCACTCTCATCCTCCATTGTTTCCGCCACCCTGTCTTCCTTGAGAATGATGAACCCCAGTTGTCGTTTCTTCAGGTGATGAGAGGTCCAACAATCAGCAGCTCACAGAGGTAAGCCACTTCCTCATTTATCTCCTCATTCCTATGGATACCTCTAATCTTCTTTCTCCTGCTGATGTAGTGGTAACGTTGTCCAAAAGATGCTAGGGATTTGATACCAGATGGGCAAACCAAGCCCTTTGGCTGTCGACTTTAGCTGGTGACTCCTTTTTGTAAGCTGACATAGGTTAGGCTAGGTAGCTTAAGTTTATGCACATTTCTGAAAACCTGATGTTGGCTGAATATATCTCTGTAAATAACTTTTATGTGATCTCTAAGACTGTGGTGTCCCTCCCTCTTCATTAACGAATGTTGATGTTTATCCTCCTCGTCTTTATTCTCAATGTTGATATCTGCGCTTTATCGATGTTGACCAAGATTTTGCAATCTCGAGGAAGTTGTGTAAAACTGCTCACACTTATTGGGCTTTGTTAATCCAATGTTATGTTTGCAAGTTTGTCTGCTACCTGGTTTGCTTCCCTGAAAATATGTTTAATTATACACCGTAAATCACTTATGTGTCGCCTTATCTCCTCTATCTGGTCGCTGAGCTTCCAAGGTATCTGCCAATCTTTCACAATAAAATTCCTTAGAATGATCGAATCAGTCTCCAAAATTATATTTTGTAATCGTAATTCCCTACACTTTCTCAGTGCCATTATGAGAACATTCGGTTCTTCCTCCATACTAGTGGTAATGCCCATACATCCCACTTCTGCTTTAATTAAATCCCCACTGCTATTTCTTATGCAAAAGGTGTATGCGCTTTCTCCAGGGTTACCCCTACTTGCACCATCCGTATTGCATTTTATCCATTCTTGCTCCAGTAGTTCCCATCTCACTGCCTTCCAGTGAATCTATGGCTTATAATTCTTCAACATGTGTATTATTCCATTCCATTCACTAGGCAGTGTTATCCACGGGTATTTCGTTTTTACCAATTGATGCACAACTACCAGTACTTGCTGATGCATATATTCATAGGAGACTTCTTTTCCATGCCTTTTGTTGTTTCTCCTCTTTCATACTTCCCACATCAGTAGGTGTGGAATGCCCCTGTATACGTATCTCAATTTAGTTGGGGCTGGTTCGAACCACCATTTATGTGCAGTTTGCTGTAATTGTTGTCCTCCCTTATGGATACCTGCACAAGTAACAAAAAATCCCCATAGCTTTTGGGCTATTAGGGATGTTAGAAATAGGCGAGACATGGTCTCCTGCACATAAGTTTCACAACAGTAGCATCTTGAAGCTAGCGATACCCTCATATTTCTTAGATTGTCCTCCGTTGCAATTCTCCCATTTGCGACCCTCTATAGGAAAAAAAATGATTTTGAATGGAATTTCTTGCAGCCAAATGTTCTCCAACCAGTCTTGTTGAGGTTTTCGATCCCTTACTATTTCAAAAGCAGACTTGACCGAAAAAATTCCACTAGTATTAAGCATCCACCATGGCTGACCAACTTCATCTTGCCTCACATTCAACTTTATATTCTTGATTATTTGAACCACTACCTCTTCTGACACCAACTCACATAGCTTCTCTTTATCCCATTCTCCATTGTTGATACACATTTGTACCTCTATATCTTCCTCATTAGTTAGATACAACGCTCCTTTTCTTGTCCAATTATCGTACCAAAAACTAGAGTTTCCAGATTTAATTTGCCACCCTATCTCCTGTTCTACCTCTTTCCTCATCTCCATAATCTTTTTCCATACATGTGAAGCACCTCTCGCCCCAGCTATAACTGGATGTTGTTTCTTGCAATATTTATTCCACATATATGTGATCCACAATGAATCAGTTGAAACTCTAAATCTCCACCATAACTTGCTAAATAATGCCTTTGTTACTCCATGCAGTGTTCGAAAACCTACTCCACCCTCTTTTTTTGGAAAACATATGTCTTCCCACGCTACCCAGTGTTTCCTTCTCTCTCCCCTGTTTCCACTCCAGAAGAACTTCGCAAAAATGCGATGCAACAGATTTATCACCCTTTTTGTGGGATTGATAGCTGATAGAAGGTATAATGACATTGATTGTAACACATGAGTAATCAAGATGTACCTCCCTCCATACGTTAGCAATATATTCTGCCAACCTAATAATTTCTGCGCAATTTTCCTCAGAATATTTTCATAATGTGAGTTGCATTTCTTTCCATAATACACTGGGCATCCAAGATATGTGAATGGAAACGGTACCCATTTTTATACTTGTTAATTTTCTCAACTTGATTCCCACTGCCAAGGTGTGTCCTCATGTAGATAAAAATAACTTTTCTCCTTTTTTATTAATTGACCAGACTCTTTCATATTTCTTCAACACCTCCATCATTCTTCTTACTGAGTATCGATCGGTCAACCCAAACAATATCGTATCATCCGCATATGACAGATGATTGATCTCTGGGCTCCACTTTGGCATTCCCCCTTATAGGGATATTTATCGATTTATGCATATTGGTTTAGTTCAGGTGGCTTTTAAGCCCCTCACTTTATGAGGTCAACCAGAAAGCTTTATAGCAGTTTTAAGGGATGGTAGAAATCATAATTGGAAAAAGTCTCTTATAGAGATAATTCAAACTAGTCTTGTTTATGGACCGGTTTATTTTAATGCTTATCCTAATTTGCAAATTTCCTTGTAGGATGAGAACTCACTAAGTTCTCTTATGTTAAATGTTAAACTTCATGGTTATGATTATATGTCTGGCACTGAAGTTGTTTGTATCTGTTATAGAATTTATTATATATTATTGCATACTTTAAATCCTATGTGTAAAGTAATTGATTTTAAAAATGAAACTATTTTAATAGAAACTAATTTTGACAAATCTAAGGTAGTCACTAGAAGACCTATTAAGTGAGAAGAAATTGATTTTCCACAAGAGTGGGTTATTGAGAACGCTACCCAACCTCAAAATAATATAAATACAGAAGTTTCTGAAATCGAACAATTGAATGATGGAACTGTTAAAATCAAATTTCATTCGTCTAACATGCTTATTGATAACCGTAGCATGTCTTCTAGGATATCTAGATCTAACTCTTCATATATATCTCCTGTTGATTATATTGTTCAGATTCCTTCTCGGGCATCTACTTCTCAAATTAGAGAAACTTATAGATGTGACAATATAAAAATTGATAAAGATAATATAGCTCAACCAATTCGTAGAACTAGTTCTGATTTAGATATAACTGAATCAGAAATGAATTTTCCAGATGGATTAACAGGTTAAACTTGTTTTTCTATGACTGGCAAAATTATTGATTTTAGTCCGGGATCTCCGGCAAGGGCTCGTATCTCTAAAGATTTTGATCGGAAAAAATGGAAACTCTTTAGAAAATGGTTTTTCAACAACTTTAATAAAGTTGAACAACATGATTTTCAAGAAGAATTTTATAAAGATCTCATAGATTCAGGAATAAATCGTTTAATAGCATTTGTTCCATGGTTTATGTGCAAACATGTTCATAATTATATCTCTATGCTTGAAAGAGATTTTGCTTTGAGTAATGGAGAAATTACTAAATCAGTTTTTCCTCCATAACAGTCTTTCCAAATTAATAAAAATGATAAGATTGTTAACTTTAATGCTTTTTCAAAATTATTTGAAAATGACACTACTTTAGTGACTGCTCAACATGTTAATGTTATGATTAAGCAGAATAATTATGCTAATATTTAGATGAGTATTTTGGGTGATCATGTTATCTCTTTACATGAGAAAATTGATAAGCTTATTACTTTGTTACCTACTAAATTAAAAGGTAAAGAGAAAGTTGCTCATAGCAGTTTACAGCCACCACCTGAGATTGAAGACTTCAAGATTAAAGATTATTCAGATCTTGAACATTTCTTAGAAAAGAAATTTAAAAGTAGTGGAGTTCAACCTTTAAATGCTGACAACTTTGATGAAGGAGAACCTAGCAATAAAAAGGAATTTTATGATAGTCTTAATAAGATATCAGAAAGATATGCTAGGAAACCTGTCCAAAGGATGTACTATTATCCTAGACCCACTCCCCAAGATGTTCTACTTGAAGAACATGAACATATTATAACTAATAGTTATAATGAAAAAGAAATCTATGAATGGAACATAGATGGTTATACAGAAAGACAGATTTATACAACTGTTCATAGGATGTTAATGTACAGTACTATCTGTAAAACCAATAAAAATAGCGATAAGACTATTGCTGATATAATAACAGCAGGTTTTACTGGCCAATTGAAAGGTTGGTGGGATAATTATCTCAACCAAGAACAAAGAGATAGGGTTCTAATGGCGGTAAAACAAGAAGGAGAACAAGTTACTCAAAACGCAGTTTATACACTTGTTTTAAATATCATTGAACATTTCTCAGGAAGATGGTCAGATAATAGTGAGACTATTAGAACTCTTCTCCAAAACTTGAGATGTAAAACCCTTACATCTTTCAGGTACTATAAGGATGTTTTCCTTTGTAGAGTTATGGAATTACCAGAGTGTAATAGCACTCATTGGAAATCCAAATTTAAATGGATTACCGACTTTATTTGCTGAAAGAGTCAGGAAGGCCATCAGAGGAGATAATCATAGCATTAATTATGATTATTATACTTATGGAAAACTTATAAGTGCTTGTGTACAGGAGGGTTTATCCTTATGTAATGAAATCAAGTTGAATCAGTAGATTAAGCGACATCGCTTAAATGAAAGGAAACAATTAGGAGAGTTCTGCGAACAATTTGCATTTGGTATATAAATTTTTATGGATCTTTTTTTGTTTTATGAAACAATTATTACCTGAAGTGTCTTTCTGAGAATTGTTCCAAGATGATGAATTCATCATGTTTGAATCAGTCGGGACTATTCAAAATCAGAAAATAATGTGCGGATCACACTTGTTTCGTTAGAGATAAAGTGTATGCAAGGCGTCAGGGAATAACTGACATTGTAGTTGTTTTGATAATGAATAAATTTAGTAATCCAGCAACTGTATACACTCCGAAAGATATAGTGGAAGACATGTTGAAAGTGCATAATGTTACGTTGACATACATGCAGGCCTGGAGAGCTAAACAAAAGGCAATAAAATTGATGTGTGGAGATCCGATCGAGTCATATGCTAAACTACCAGGTTTTTATTCAAACTAGATTTTGTATTTTATTTTATGAACTGAATTGATATGAATTTTAGCAATGCAACAATTTGGTGGCCATTTGGCATGCAATCTGTTTACAAATTTAACTCCCATTATCCATTTGATTTCCTTTGTGTATCCAATTAATATCCATTATGTGTCTAATTTGAATCCAAATGGTATCTAGTTGTATTCAGGTTGTATCCAGTTAATATATTTGTTGTGTTGTAATGTTCAGATATCAAAATGTAAAATTAATTGTAACAACGAAAAAACTTCCAGGTTATCTATACATATTGGAGCAGACATATCCTGGTTCTATTTTAAAATTAGAAAGAACTAAAGGTGATAGCTTCTTATATGCATTTGTTGCATTAGAAGCATGTATTACAGGTTGGGAGTATTGTAGGCCAATTGTAGTGGTTGATGGGGCAGCTTTAATAGGCTCATATGGTGGTACAATGTTGATTGCAAGCACTATGGATCCAGGAGATATTTTTTGAATCTTTTACATTTATATGCAATAATAAATATGATATAAGGTGTGTTTTCAATTTGTATGATTTTTTTAAAAATAATGCATCAGGTCACATACTTCCACTTGCTTATGCCATAGTGGATTCTGAGAATGATGCATCGTGGACCTGGTTCTTTGAACAGTTTAGGAAAGCATATGGAGAAAGGAAAAACATATGTTTATGTTAGATAGAAACGAGAGCATATGGAAAGGAACTGCAAAAGTATATCCTGGATTGGAACATTATGATTGCATATGGCACTTATGCTGTAATGTTTTGAAGAATTTTCATAGGAATACTGAATATTTGAAGAAGCTTTTTTTTACAATGGCAAAGGCTTATACAATACAATAATTTGAGGCAATTATGCAAAGAATAGACCAGATATATCCAAGAATAAGAAGTTATTTATATGATATCGGGTATAGCAAGTGGTCTAGGGCTTATTCAAAAAGTAAGCAAACATGGACCATGACTTCAAATATAGCGAATCTTTAAATAATGTTGACAGGATATCAAGGATGTTGCCAATGATTTCACTTCTTGAATTTATGAGGGTAATAGTTCAAAGATGGATTCATAAGCATAACAAGGAGGCTGTAAAAACTAGATTATAACTGACAAAAAAATATGATCTTAAGCTCCAGAAAAATATTGCTTGGTCTAGCAGTATGAGGGTATGATTTTTCCTTTATTCATTATTATTTAAAGGTATTCATATATGCAATTAGTATGATTACTAAATTAATTTAGTATAAACTGCCAACTAGCATGAACAGTACATTATACAAATAGATGGAATTAATTTGATATCAATTCTGTAGATATATTTGAAACCTTTTTTGTGGCTTATTTTTTGTAACAGCATTATAATGAGAAATATCTTTGTGTGTTAGGTAATACCATCAACAGTTGATATGCATGTTGTTGTTGATGGACCAAAGCGGTACATAGTAAACTTAAATACCAAGAAATATAGTTGCGGCAGATTTCAAAATGATGAGATACCATGCGGGCATGGAATGGAAGTTCTTAGATACAAAAGACTGCATGAAATAGATTACTACTCTCCTTTCTATAGCTTGAAGAATTTTCAAGATGTATATGTAATCCCTGTTGAACCTCTCACATACGAGAGTACATGGGATATACCAAGGTATGTTTCAGAGCCTAAATTGATGACGCCTGGTCCAAAGAGAACTGTAGGAAGACCGCAACTTGAACGATGGAAAGGATTTTCTGATGTGAAATTCAAAAGGTCTAAAGTTACTTGCAGTAGATGTCGTCAAGTTGGCCACAACAGGACGACATGTTCAAATTATTTTGTGCCAAAAAAATGATATTTTATTTGTTTAGACTATGTTGAAATTTTATTTTATTTTGTC